TTTTTTTSAAATAGGTGYATATTGCWCTTTGTACATAGTCTGAATAAGTCAAGCATGAATTCACGACCACAATTCCGGATGTAACTTGCAGCCTAGGAAATTATGATATCGACTTTTCTTAATTAATTTCTTTATGTCGAAGTATGATAACGAAAAAATATGGTCTATATTCATACGTAAGTTATAATGACATAAGAGGCGGCGTAAATTGTTTTTTTGTGTGTTAGTGATATTCAGTAATGATATGTCGCTGTATTAAACGAGGTTTTCGCTTACTGCATGTATAGATTATCGATAAAAAACTTCACAAGCATTAAAGGGAACAACTCCCTAAGAAAATCGCACAATCCTTTGAAAGTCTTTGAATTCACATTGCCGCTCCTGAAGCAAGTTTTGCAGGTTCAGCTTACTAACTTGGTATTCTTCAATGGTTTGGAGCGTATTTCAAACATGTATTATTATTCATACCATTGATTCGCGTAAATTTGGAGAAAAATACGAATTAAACCAGACTCTTATCTTAGTATTATCGCTTACCAAAATCCCAATCCATATTCCAATAGCTCCTTTAGCAGGGAAGCCGCTCTCATAATGCATCATTTCCACCCTGTCGCCGACACCAAAGACAAGACACGAAAATCCAAACAAAACTTGGGCGATTGCTGAAAGTCGGCAATTCGTGTTGTCATAACCCTGTCCCTTCATTTCAGGGAGTTTTTTTTGAAGATTTCCAAGCTATTTCAAATGCAAATGTAGCTGTGTTTTTCCGATGACAAGCCAGTATTTCATGTGGTGATCATGGTTCACGTGTGCTGAGCGTGATCTATTCAAAAGAGTTGATCCACCGAAACGACCGTCTATAACAGATGAATAGTGCAGCCTCTGTAGTGTAGCGAAGGATGGGTATGTTTTATCATCACTTATCTTCAATGTTCTCTGCACTTTTAAGGTCTAAAGCGTTTGAAATCAGTCGTTTGATCAACCTTTTTGATTTTGATATCTCATCATCCAAACACCTGCTTCGAGACTCACGAAATGTCACATTAAAAACAGACGTAACTATCGTGCGTGACGTTAATTAACTCTATAATCTCCTATTATGGACCGGTTCACAGTACAAAATAARCAGAAGWAGGAAGTTTTCTACGTGTGAACSTGGGAGAACATAAGTAGGATGCAGAAACGTAAGAAAATGAGAACTGATTTCCATTTCTATATGTTTCTGCTTGCTTTATGTAAAAAAACTTAACAGTTAGAAGCTGGAAAACGTAAACATAGCTCATATGCTTATGTTAATAAGTATGAACCAGCTTACCTTTCTGTTTTGATTATGTCGTAGACTGGGAACCAGCCAATGGGGTAATTTTTAAAGTTTACTATCATATTAGGGACGAGGCTCAAAAAAAACGTTCGACAAAATGTACTTATTAACTTACTGAACCCGAGGTAAATTGTGCGAGGACTTTATGATCTTTGCAAGGATGGTTTTCCGCCACGTTTGACTTCACAAGCTTTTGGTAAATTATCACGTACAAGGCCTGATCCTCAGGACTACAAGAACTTACAGATAAACTTTATTTATTGGCATCAAATGACTTTAGCAGCATTTCACTCACGCAGAAATGCTGACTATTTTTTTTTAGTTTTAGTTTTCATTTTGTATGATCCATATATGGTTCAAAAGATACAAACATTCATCGTACAATTCAATGTGATCATATGGTCGATTGCAAGAGTGAAAGTTACTCTGGCTTCCAATGCAATTTCTTAGACACATGGA